GCGGTCATAAAGTTTATTGTGCTTTAGCTCAACGTTTCACTCGTTACGTTCAAGAATGCGAAGTGCCGGCCGCATGGAGAAAATCCAAAACAATTCTGCTCTTTAAAAAAGGAGATAAGGAAGACTTGGAGAACTATCGACCAATCACGCTCCTACCAGTGATATACAAGGTGTTTACGCGATGCCTTCTTGCTCGAGTTAGAAAGAAACTAGACGAAGCTCAGCCAATTGAACAGGCAGGATTTCGACGAAAGTTCAGCACTTTGGATCACATTATCACCTGCTGTAGAATTATTGAAGCTGCTCGAGAATATCACGAACCACTGATACTAACGTTCATTGACTATCGAAAGGCATTCGATTCAGTAGAGCGAGAAAAGATATGGTCAGCTCTCAATGAACAAGGCGTCGAACTCCGTTATACGAAAATCTTGAGTGAATGCTACTCTGGATGTAGCACAATATTTCGACCGTTCTTTCGTGATTTAGAGGTGACTGTGGAAAAAGGAGTCCGCCAAGGAGACCCCATTTCCCCGAATCTATTCTCTGCTTGCCTGGAGTCTACAATACGTAACTGCGATTGGCATGACACAGGAATCAAAATTGATGGAAGATATCTAAATCACCTAAGATTTGCCGATGACATAGTACTGATCTCAAGAACTTCAGAACAAGCTTTACAAATTTCAGTGACCTTCATGCAGCAGGAGCAGAAGCCGGTTTGAACATCAACATAAATAAAACGAAGTGCATGAGGAATGAATACTCAGATAGAGATCCTGTTTTCCTACAGGGTGAAGCTCTGGAAGATGTCGATGAATATGTTTATCTTGGCCGACTGCTTAACATGAAAAACGACCTAAAAGGCGAAATAGTAAGGAGGAAAAAAGCTGGCTGGGCAACGTACAATTCAGTCAGGAATGTGATCGAAAATACCAGAGACGAAGAACTGCGAGCAACCCTGTTCAACTCCACAGTACTACCAGCTCTGAGCTACGCTAGTGAAACTTGGTCCCTAACGAAAAATTCGGAAAACCAGTTAAGAAGGATACAAGCTTCACTTGAGCGTCGAATGGTTGGTGTAACCCTACATCAACAACGGATCGCCAGATTACACAACGAGAGACATACGTTCGATGTCCAAAGTTCGCGATATCATTTCGCATATCGACAAGGCAAAACACACTTTTGCTGGACATCTTATTAGGCGAGACGACGGACGTTGGAGCACTACAACTGTGCGCTGGGAACCTCGCGACAGGAAACGACCTCGCGGTCGGCCCCCTCTGCGATGGCAAGACTCTCTTGCTCACAGAAACAATATTTGCGATTCTAATTCAATTAAGGTATTAGTCCATTGGACGACATTGGCTCAAGATAGAACATCGTGGAAAAGAAGTTGGGACCCGCGCAAGAACAATCGCTGATAACGGGTCGCCAAGTAATAAAAGTAAAGTAAAGTAAACTCAGCATTCCCAGGGGCATTCAGAAAAATTTGCTCTCGGTTTTATTCTCCGCGCGCGTGTCTCTATGCAGAAACCTTTCTGAAAAAGCGCTCTATCTCCTGAAAGATTTTCCTGGTCAATTTTAATTCCGGCCCCACCCATTTGACGAACGGCTTCGCCCCTGCGCGCACGCGGAAAAGGCGACTACATCGAGTCAGATGTCGGTCAGACTCTGCGATTGCATCGCGCGATGCAGTCGCTCTGCCTAGAGCGATTGGCATCGCTCCAAAGTGCGAGCGACGGGAGATTTACCCGCCGACGACCGATACACACGGCGCCGCTCGGGTAAATCTCCCGTCGCTCGCACTTTGGAGCGATGCCAATCGCTCTAGGCAGAGCGACTGCATCGCGCGATGCAATCGCAGAGTCTGACCGACATCTCACTTATGATGACAACAACACGCAAATGCATTGCACATCTTGTCGTCTTTTGCCTTTCGGAGAGCAGCTGTCCATTAAAACGCTGAACGAGATCGTTTTATGAGAGCAATGGCTTGACGTGGTGTTGTTAGTAAATTACCTTTCTCAGCAAGGCCCTGTTGGAGGCGTCCTTGTGACCAGAGCCGTTGCGCAGTTCTCAACGGCCACGTTGCGCAGTTTCGCCCGATTAGACACGTTCTCTCGCGCGAACATTCACACTCGCATGCTCGAGCCGTCTGTGTCTCCGCCCATACAGCGTGCGTTGAGGATCTCTCAACGTGCCGTTGCGAACTGCGCAACGCAGGGTTGACTCTGCTTGTAACCCCCTTCCAGTCGTCATAAGACATAAGACTAAGGCTACTGAAAAAAGGTACCTCTAAAATGCAGCGAATTTTGCCGCGAATGTTAACTCGATTTTCGCGGAAGGACGGTTTCTCACAGAACAGAGGGATTGTCATGAACCTGTAGCTTTTTTCATGAGCTTAACCTTAATCTTCTTTAAACCTTCTTTAAATCTCTCGTCGCTAACCCTTAACCTTCTTCTACTGCTCCCATAGAGTCTTTGCACAATTTTTCGTTCCGGCAGCTTCTATTATCGCTCTCAATTTTGAAACATCTTTAAGTTAACACAAGCATATGGAATTTTAAGACATTTAACAGAATTTAGCTTTTATATTCCAGTTTTCACAATTTTATTCTGAGACGCAGGTTGCGATGGAAATGGCGCGCTATTTCGCACGTAAATGGAACAAGAGCTACGAGGAGGATCTTCATTGAGGAGAAAAGGTAGAGGGACCACACAAAACACTGCTGTTTAATTGTAAGACCGCCTTTTCTTGCTAGGTCGACTATAGTGCGTCGAAGAGACTCAACTACGCGAGGCGATATAACACGCGATAGAGCACGTCTCCGAGAGGGCGCAGACACTGCGTAAGCTGAGAAGAGCGAAAATGCAGCGGACGCAGCGTTCCGGGTTAGGATTGAGAAACCTGGTGTGCTTTTGCAAAGAGTATCGCTACACTGGGTGCAAGAATTGCCCTGCATGATCAACTTGGTAGATTCCCCTAACTTTTCCGTTCGAAAAATTTCAATTGAAAACGAAAGTCCGAAGCACATAAAAGCTTTGCTGCACAACCTTCAGGCTCGGTGTGCCCTCTACTAGTCGCTTAAGAAAAATAGCTGTTCTTCTATTGCAACCTATATGACTCGCTTTGTGCGAATAAAAATGGTCTCAAGGTGTACAGATAGCTTCGATTGTGCTTCAAATTTACAAGTCGAAAATAGCGTCAAAATTGAGCCGATCAAAGACTCTTTCGATCACGGAAGGCTCACTTGGAAGCTACTCAAGACTTTAACTTGTTTCTTTTTCGATACCGACATGGATGCCATACTACGCACGGAGCATAGATTTGACGTGTGCTGCGTGCGTGGCCGGCGGCAGCGTTGGTGCCCAAGTGAATTGTTCTCCACGGAGGCGGTATCATTGCCGTATCATTAGCGTTTTGGTTTCTAACGAGGACCGGACTCCGTGGATCCGAGCAATAAAAGCCATCGAATCAGAAATAATTTTTATATCCTTATAGGTCCACTTCTGGTTTCGTGGTGGAGCGTTGCGCGCATTTCCTCCGCGATGACGACAAGGGGTTTATCGAGTAACAGTTGTTTTCTCGATGATTCTAGAGGAAGTAGGTATGAAAAGGTTGTTCAGCTGTTTTTCTTCCTATATTCTTGCATTTTCAAGATGTTCTTACGTCATTTCATGACGCCACCTCCGTTGAACTTTTTGTTTCATGCAGTTCTTCAGCTCAATTACCACGCTTCAGAATCATTCTGATTGTTCTATGTAATGTATCTTGCGACATATTGTTATATGCTAGTTGTCGTGCTCTGAAGGCCAGTGTTCTTGGTAGTGAGTCCCTCGCCAGAAGTGAGCCCAGTAACCTCCTGAGTTTTATTGAAAAGAGTGCTGAGATTGGTTTCAAATGTAGAGACAATACAATGCGGAGAAATTGACAGCTCTTACGAAGTTTTGCTTGCTGGTTATCCTCTTACACCGGCAGCATTAGCTGTTCCTCCTCTAACACTTGGTTTCTCTAAAAATTTCCCGATTGTTATTACCTATGATCGCAAACATTCACTTTCCACATATAATCCATCTTCGAGAACTGCAGGTTGTCGTTAAAGGCTGCGATCACGATGGCAATAGGACGGTGCGAATTAGTAAAGTCCTTTAACGTCATTGGTGGAGTGAAATTCTCAGCACGCTGGGGGTGTGCTTGAGACTGCCTTCCATCATTTCCACCGCTGACATTCAATGACATCACCCAACCGCACCGCCCTCTAGCCGTCGTGATTACTGTCTTCAAAAGCCAGTAATGCCCTAGTGCTCTTTTCACGCATTCGAGCTGCGAAATTAGTGTGAATTTTGCGCCGGGGGAGTTCCTTTCTTAAATATAGTGAGTTGTTGTACTCACCTTATCGTGAAATATGTCCTACTGCTCGATGTTCGTCACCTTCTATCGTTTCGAAAAGCGCTGCGTTGTTAATTTGCACGAGCGCTCTCTTACTTGTTGTACGATTGTGCTATGATTCGAATGATTTTCAGAACCTGTGATGCATGATTTTCCATCACCATCCAGTTTCAAGGACCGGTATCGTGTGAAGGTGGGAGGTCCTTTGTGATTTTCCAGTGAGAGGCGTCTTTTTCTATGAAAAAGCCCACAATTTTAGACTGTGAGGAAAATTTTTGATTATTTCCACGAACGGATGGATAATTAACGAAAACGATTCATTTGACGGTCAACCGTCCCACTACCACCTTCGATTAGGGACAGCCTTTTATTTCTTTTTCAAATTTATTTTCTATTTCGGCGCTATCGCATTACGGGATGGGGGGGGGGCGGGGTGCTCGAAGTGCACGAAACACTCCACGTGTATACCCTCATACCTTCTCCGGAGCTTGATCCCGTTCCCATTCCAATTATTGTAGGGGTCACAAAGAACTGCGGCAGTTCACTCCCTCACCGCCCATTGCGCTCACTGCACTCAATTATATTTTTTTGTGAATGTCCTGAAATGACCTTTGTAAAACACCACAATTCAATGTAAAAACTAGTAAAGGTGGAAATTCAAACGAATTTAGTAATTCATTTGGGACGGACTGCAGTATCTATCTTTTCTTGATAGGAGTAAAAGTTTCAATTCAGACCAAGTAAACTCACCTTCACGAGACGCTCCGTTTTTAAGGTACCAAAGTCCAAGGAAGAGAATCGAATATTGAAACAAGGTTACACAGACGACAACAACGAACATTTAGCCTATTTCAACTTCCGAATAATATGGCCAACACTCGCGCTAACGATCTCCATCTACGCATTTTTTATCAGTGAGTACCACTTCATTATATTGTGTTGAGCAATAATTATCCGCCGTTTTTATTTCACTCATAAGTTATTAACAAAACCAAACAAAACAATAAATGCGTAATCAACAAACGCTCTCGAACAGTCCTCTCTGCAACCGTGCCTTCATCCCAGGCTTCATTGATTCTACGAGCAGATGCAGAAGCATTCGGTTTCGAGCTCAACTTGCACTCATGTAGCATGAGCAATCTTTTTTTGCTCGCGTGTAAGCTCCAGAGTGAAGCAAATACACAAGTGTTGTACATCAAAATGTACAAGAATTGCGCGCTTTCAGACTATATCGTAATTTGCAAAAATGATCAGTAAAAAAATCAAACAGCCATGAGCCTGAAAAAAGTATTGTTCAACCTAATAAAAACACAACTTTGGTGTGTCGATTTGCCGGTTTGTATGCCTATGTGTACGGCGTCGTTCTGTCCGTCCGATTCAACCGCTAACAGAACCAGGAAGCTCAAAGGGCTATGCTTCATGTTGATGTCATGACTATGATACTCGCACGGCTACATCAACACCGATCGAACACACTGAGCCTCATTTTGCCGCGGCGGCAGCTGGAGGGGAGGGCAGGAGCGGGTAAGGAGGAAAGAGGGAGGGGGTGCATCGCTTCCAAGATTATGGTCCGATTCGGTGCTGAGGTATTATTGCAACGCGATTGCGATAATATCCCGTGATAACATCCCAACGCTATACTATAAACACCTTCATAGTACACTTGCAGTGATTCCACAAGGTGCTGCAGTGGCAGCTGGAAAGCAGTGAGGGGAGGGAGGATAAGATTGAGGAGAGCCAAGCTTCGCAGAGAAGGGAGGGTCTGGCGGTTGCCGGAAGACCGACCTGGTAATAAATATTCGTCTATGTTCGATGCAATAAATTAATTGAGGCCCGTATCCACCCTAAAATTCACGAGTGCTACACTCAAAGGCGGCCGCCTCTTGAGATTTTCTCACTAAAAAGGGTGGATGCGAGAGTAGAGGGAACTGAAGCTTTCACCTTCCCTCCTGCTAGACGCCAATTATAGAGGAATTCTCACGCCGAACCTCGAGCTTCTAGTGTGTCAGATGATGACAGGTTCAGCGACAGAATTGACACTGCGGATCGTAGTAGTAGGGTCAACCGTGCTTTGCGGTGAATGCAAATTTTTTACGACCCTTCCCTTCCAAGGGGTGGCGATCCGACTCTCCCCCCCCCACCACCATCACCCTTGGGGAAGTTCCCCGATACGATCGTTTCCCAAGCCCTATCTGGAGCTTTTCCCAAAATCGTCGCAAAATCTGTCAAACACGACTATCGATTGTAACCAGGTTAACTGCGCAGCGCACAGCTGACCTCTGGTTGTAGGAGAGTCGTGTGAGGAAAACCTCAGGTGAGCAGGCGGGAGGAGGGTGGGGAGGGTGCAGCTGTAAAAATTTTGAAATCAGTTTGACGGTTAATCATTGTTGCGCTAGTTCGTCTCCCCGTCATCTGGAATTTTGTTCGGGCGCCTACTTTTTCTTCATGTAATGTCGCACATTGAAGTGTTAAATGACCACATTAAGGGCGTTGTTGGCGGTTCCTTACGCTATCTTCTTCAACAGGCTGCTAAACTCTTAGAATCTCAATGCAAATAGTGTCGTGAATTGGTTGTTCACTGCGAATGAAAGTAGAGCTGATAAGAGCTATGAAAGATGCAGCTATGAAAGAAATCTCAGGGATATGACTCGGATCCTGCAAAACGGAACCCTCGTTCACCCAGTTCACGCGGTAGAGCGATTCTCGGTGCTGACGTTATCGTTCTGGACGTTCAGTTCTGCCCCTCTGCCAGGGTCATGTTGGACCGATTTCGAGAATTCACGACCCCCCTCCCTCTTCTAGAGGGCCTCGATACGACCTCCCCTCAGGGTCAACCTTCACCACCCTCGCCTGCCATCGCCATCATGGGGCTCATTCAATAGTATTCGATTCTGAGACCGGTCGACACAGCCAAACCCAAACTCCGCCCGCTTTTTCCTCCAAAGTTACCGTTCTCTGTTATACCCCGATGGACGCACCCTTTCAGTGAGACGCACCTCGTCCAGTTCTCTTAGGTGACTTGCCTCCCTTTGGAATAGTATATTCTCCTCTATCGACCTCCAATCCTCCAATCGTGCCACTTGCCTTTGATCTCTGAACCCTCTTTATCTACACCTGCCGTAGTGGGATTTTACTTTGATATTATATAAGCTATCGGAATTGTGGCCCATTGGAACCTTTTGTTCTTGCAGTTGGCGTTGTTGGTTCACTGATCACGGATGATCTTCCAAATCCCCTCGAGCTTCGACGAGCCTTCTGGACGCGTTATGGATCTCTTCGCTTTCGATGTAACGTGAGTGTTCCCCAACTCATTAATAATAATGATACCCTCGAAACGTTTATGACCTGGTGACCCTAGTACATCAGACCACTTTGCGATGCGACCGCAAGAAGCAACTGCTTTGGCTATTTTACTTGCATGCCCTCCGAAACAGTAGTCGTCTTTCCGAAATTTCAGGAGTCATTCTTGACATGGTCCTTCAACGCTAAACATATTTTGGCAGACCCCTCCCCAGAAATTTCTCGGGGGGCTCGGGAATTCTACAGTTGTGAACATGCATCGGAACATGGTCCGGTGTTCTCAAGAGATGAGTACAGATGGTCAGAGATGGTACCGTTTCATAGTATGGAAGACCATCAGGCTCCTGCACAACATATTGGCTAGAACACCATAAATTCAATCTGGCGAGAATGACTAGAATTTTGAAAGTGGACGTTACCTGTGAAACAACCTAATATTGTATTTTGTCACATTGTACAAATCTGAATGTCAAAGCGTTGAAAATCAGTACAACTCTTGACAACAGTCAGATTCATCCCTGCGCTTCAAACATTGGCAGCATATCACTAGACCATTTACCAGTGCCTGACATTTGCTGATAAACATGATTTGAAGCCTGGTCCTTGTGGTGTATAAGAATTTCATTGCAGTCGACAGTGCCTTTCCCGAAAGACGGTCTTCCATCGGTGCTGAATTTGTTCGAGTTGGACGTCGCAGGCAATGTTATGTTCAGAATTTGTGCGTGTTTGCCAGTTGCAGTCAGGCTTTTCGTTGTGCATTGCAGAAGGTGGGTGGGTCTTTAAGGATTTTTGCTCATATGGACATGATGAAGGTAGCTCTAGAGCTGACATCTTTGGTCTCGTCCCCTTCAGTCTTTTCTCCGTAAAGCCGAGAACTGAGGGTGAAAGCGGAGAGCTGAATGCATTCCATAATCCTCAAGTGCGCAATTGTTTAGGGAGCTGATTCGAGCCGATTTTGTCTCATCATCAGTCGTACATAATCTAATGAATGAGGCAGCATTCGCTTTGTCGGTGGTGGAATTTTTTACGATGGCGGTATTTAGCGTTGTTACTATTCGAAAGGACTCTATTGGTTAGTAGCTCAATGTCAATTCTGGGCTGTGATCCCAGCGAAAAAAACTGCGAGCGTTCTCTACCATCCAATATTTGTTTTAGTACTGAATCGGTACTGCAAAGTCACAGCTATAGCAGCCTCCGCGAACATGCTGATTACCTCCGCTGTCATGGTCGCTCACAAGAGATCCAGCGCGAAGGTGAATTTAGGCTAGGTAACCAGTTTCAGTCAATGTCAACCCAGCATATATTTACTGGATCGATAGAGGGTATCCAATAATTCTCAAAGTCACAATCCTACCTCAGTCATATTACTTTTACAACCGCTTCAAGAGCAATAGGAATGTTCAGAGACTCGATTCGATTTCGATGGTGATGAAGGCCCTCTCCACGATGGCTTTCTGTTATGTTTCGCCGCAGTATTTTCAACGTCATCATGCCAATATCTCGTTTCAAATGTGTCATTCATACTGTGAGTTACTTGAAAACGAAAAAAACGTATCTGAATGCGGGCAGGTCTCACACCATACCTCGCCTTTTGCTTTTGCAATGTGAAAAATGACTAAATTGAGAACTTGAGTAGTGCAATATTCACGATTTCAATACCTTAGCATATGTATTGTGGCGATTTACACTCTAGATAGGCTACTGGTGTTTTATGATTTTGCACTACATTTTAGCGTTTATTAGTCATAAAAAGAAGCGGCCACAATGGATATCACAATTGCGATCACGGTTCTGGATAACCTCCATCGCAAAAGTTTGAGGGAAGATTTACGTTGTAATGCAAGAGTTCGTGCAACCGTGAAAAATTGATGCTGATAATGAACGATCTTCACAAGCTCGAGACCGCACAAGTTCGAAGAAGTTGTACCGTAGGTATAGGGCTGAGGGTCAATGGACAAACACAATGTCGCAACTCTCCCTATTCGTCGATGATTCTCAGCCCTTCCACTGACCAAGTTCAAATCGAGAGCTACGTGTTTTTATAGCACGCTATATTCTCGTCCGCTACATGAAAAAGGTTTGACTGCCGGGTAACTCATTGAGCTAACGTATCACGTACCATTGCTGCGCACAAAATACAGAGCTCGTTCCTAAGTATCGGCCGGCATGCAATACTATTAGGATGGCACATAATTTCTGAGACACATTACATGTATTGCTGTAATATTATGATAAGTATTAGAGCTATCCAAGAAAACTCCATTGCAACTCACCAGGGAAAGAGTTGAACCCTCCGTGGGACTTTGAATCGAGACCTAGACATATCGATAGAGCCTGGGACACTGGTTAGAACTGCGGAACCCAAAATTGCAAAACGATTCTGCCAAGGAAGTTACGAGCAGTCGAAGTTGGCTGCAAATGAGTGCTTTTGGATGAGGCTCGCTAGTGTCAGAGAAACTGTGTTGCCGTGGTGTAGTGGTAAGGCTCTCGCTCATCATCATGCAGGTCATGGGTTCGGTTCCCGCTGCGGTGAGTTTTTGCAAATCATGTTTCGTACCCAGTAGAGACTTCTATTCTAGTTTTTGACATTTATTTGAATAAGCACCTAATCACAGCTATGCTAATACCATTGACGTTTGTTGTGTGTGTTGAGATGAAGTGACTTCGTGCACAGATTCTTCTACACTCAGCGTTCAGTCAGAAGAAGAGAACTAACTTCATCAATCTACCACTAGCACTCTACCTCTTCCACTCTCTGGCTTGTCTTGCCTTGCCTGAACGGAGCTGTGTTCATCCTCGTCATCGCAATAATCCCTGTCCTATTCGTTGGGACGTCCGATTCCAGGCTTTCACCCATATCAACATCGACTCCAGCGAGGATGCCATCACGAAGTATAAAAGCAAACCTCGCGGCAATCTTCCTCTCTTCGCGAGTTGCAGGACTGTGGTCTTCTGCGCTCCGAATTCGGCGAAAAGTATCCAAACTACCTTCGCGGGAGAATACAGCATTATCAATGAAGATATTCATCAGGAACATAGCGACAACCATATCTGTCACTCGGTCTTCACGTTCTGACAAGGTGCTCACTCAGATATATCAAAAACTATAGTAGAAATCTGTATTGGTACTGCATTGAGAACCGAACCCATGGCCAGCATGACTATGAGCGAGAACCTTACCACTATTCCACTGCAACACAGTTTTTTGAATTAGCGAGCCTCATCCAGTAAGCTCATTTGCAGCCAACTTCGACTGCTCGTAACTTCCTTGGCAGAATCGTTTTGCAATTTTGGTTCCGTAGTTCAACCGGTGTCCTCAGGCTCTATCGATATGTCTAGAAGTTCTACGGGGACTCAAAGTTCCACGGGGAGTTCAGCACTTCCCTCGTCAGCACACAATCTCGCCTATCCGGAAGGGTAACCACCTAATTTACTTGCTGCTGTGTTTGGCTAGGACTCCAATTTCTTCGAAACCTATTTCTGAGCCTCTCGATCTTCCACGCGCCAAGCAACATGCAAGATTAGCCGAAAGATAGTTGAATGCATGCTTTCAATCCGTGGTGCACCACTGGTTACCTCTACTCAGGCTTCCCTCTTTTTATTTGAAAACGATCCACACTCCAGCGACCCCGCGACTGGCACGGTGCCACTGAGAAGAAATCTGAACAAACTGGTCGTTATTTGTCAGCTTGCTTCTAATGCGATAAAGTGACCGTCATGAAACCAGCTCCAGAGCGTAACGATTGAAAATACGATGTTTGTATTTCAAGCGATCTGAGTCTGAATCAGCTCCAAACGCGATCTGACATCATGATGTTCCTGATGGTTTCCCATAGTTCCTTCGAATGACCATCTATACTCATCGGTGATGTGGACTGGGTGCAGTGTGCTAACAAATCCACAAGCCGCAGTAGCTTAGCTTAAACGATTCGGGAGTTCTGACAGCAAAAGCCCAACTCCCTCTGAATTCTAACTTCCTGAGTCGTTGGCGGAATACGAGAGGGCTTTGCGCTGGGAACCGGCACCAACTAATACCAGTGTCAGTGATGAAAACAATCCTCGACAGCTTGATGGCGACGCCTTCAAACTGAAAGCAAAATACAAAAAATGTTTTTTCCGAGGTCGTTCGATTCCACCTTGCGAGGGAAAATCATGAAAAATCGGGAGAATCTTGGGCCGACGGTTCTCTTTTGGCTCCGCCTTGTAGCACTAAACTTGTGCCAACGAACGACCATTCGCTCTTTTCTATCTGGAGAAGAAATCTTACTTTAGTCACCATGATGCCGACAAAATCGACATCCAGTTTTCTTCGTTTAGTATTCAATGGAATTCTATGAGAAAGACAATGAAAACCTTCCCTCGCGTTAGGAGTGATAATAATGATGATGTATATTGAGTTAAAGGCAAAAGTCGGGCTCAATAAGGGGGTATTATGGCGATTGAAACTGAGTATAGAGATGCGAAGTGGAACGACAGTGGAGAAAAAACTGAGAAAAACCGTCGACAAGGCCGTTAACAAAACCCTCTTTCCCACTAGCAGTGAAGGAGGCTGGCTTGGGAAAGAGGCACGTACAAACAAGTTTTCTGGAGATGTCAGTCGTTCTATCGGTTGATACGGCAATCAACCTAGCTGATTTCACACGTTATGCCAGCCACGCACCACTTCCCGAGGTGGGCGGTCGTAGCGGGGCCAGGCGGCGATAGCGCATAGTACGTGCCCTGGGGCCTTATTACGGCGCCGTTTGGGATTCTGAGCATGGTAACGTCTCTGTGGGTGCGTAGCCATGCACAAAGACGACAAAGGGATTGGTTTGGTCCACTAAGCCTGACTCGTGCCTTTAAATAAATACATCAAAAAATAAAATATGTACTTATATCGGAAAACATCCAAAGTGTCTCCGAAATTATGTGTAAACCTAACATTTACTTTACCCTCACCTCTACCCTTGATCATAACCACAATTCTGGCACAAGTTAGCTCAAATTCTCTATTTCTCATGAACCCTCTACTGTAAGGGATACTCTATGACCTGGACCTGATGTTAGCCTTTGGACGCGAATTCGTAAAAAATGGGCCGCTGCGGCACCTGAACTATTAACACTGGGAAGTTTTTCCTTTGAGTAGCTCTAATACTTATCATAATATTACAGCAATACATGTAATGTGTCTCAGTCTCAGAAATTATGTGCCATCCTAATAGTATTGCATGCCGGCCGATACTTAGGAACGAGCTCTGTATTTTGTGCGCAGCAATGGTACGTGATACGTTAGCTCAATGAGTTACCCGGCAGTCAAACCTTTTTCATGTAGCGGACGAGAATATAGCGTGCTATAAAAACACGTAGCTCTCGATTTGACTTGGTCAGTGGAAGGGCTGAGAATCATCGACGAATAGGGAGAGTTGCGACATTGTGTTTGTCCATTGACCCTCAGCCCTATACCTACGGTACAACTTCTTCGAACTTGTGCGGTCTCGAGCTTGTGAAGATCGTTCATTATCAGCATCAATTTTTCACGGTTGCACGAACTCTTGCATTTTAACGTAAATCTTCCCTCAAACTTTTGCGATGGAGGTTATCTCACGGAGCGGCTTGGCAGATTGTGCATATCCAATGTGGCCACAGCCTTCTTTTTATGACTAATAAACGCTAAAATGTAGTGCAAAATCATAAAACACCAGTAGCCTATCTAGAGTGTAAATCGCCACAATACATATGCTAAGGTATTGAAATCGTGAATATTGCACTACTCAAGTTCTCAATTTAGTCATTTTTCACATTGCAAAAGCAAAAGGCGAGGTATGGTGTGAGACCTGCCCGCATTCAGATACGTTTTTTTCGTTTTCAAGTAACTCACAGTATGAATGACACATTTGAACGAGATATTGGCATGATGACGTTGAAAATACTGCGGCGAAACATAACAGAAAGCCATCGTGGAGAGGGCCTTCATCACCATCGAAATCGAATCGAGTCTCTGAACATTCCTATTGCTCTTGAAGCGGTTGTAAAAGTAATATGACTGAGGTAGGATTGTGACTTTGAGAATTATTGGATACCCTCTATCGATCCAGTAAATATATGCTGGGTTGACATTGACTGAAACTGGTTACCTCCGACCCATGGTAGGACTAAATACACCTTCGCAGCCTGGATCTCTTGTGAGCGACCATGACAGCGGAGGTAATCAGCATGTTCGCGGAGGCTGCTAAAGCGAACGTGACCTTGCAGTACCGATTCAGTACTAAAACAGATATTGGATGGTACAGAACGTTCGCAGTTTTTTTCGCTGGGATCACAGCCCAGAACTGACATTGAGCTACTAACCAATAGAGTCCTTTCGAATAGTAACAACGCTAAATACCGCCATCGTAAAAAATTCCACCACGACCAGGCGAATGCTGCCTCATTCATTAGATTATGTACGACTGATGATGAGACAAAATCGGCTCGAATCAGCTCCCTAAACAATTGCGCACTTGAGGATTATGGAATGCATTCAGCTCTCCGCTTTCACCCTCAGTTCTCGGCTTTACGGAGAAAAGACTGAAGGGGACGAGACCAAAGATGCCAGCTCTAGAGCTACCTTCATCATGTCCATATGAGCAAAAATCCTTAAAGACCCACCCACCTTCTGCAGTGCACAACGAAAAGCTGACTGCAACTGGCAAACACGCACAAATTCTGAACATAACATTGCCTGCGACATTCAACTCGAACAAATTCAGCACCGATGGAAGACCGTCTTTCGGGAAAGGCACTGTCGACTGCAATGAAATTCTTATACACCACAAGGACCAGGCTTCAAATCATGTTTATCAGCAAATGTCAGGCACTGGTAAATGGTCTAGTGATATGCTGCCAATGTTTGAAGCGCAGGGATGAATCTGACTGTTGTCAAGAGTTGTACTGATTTTCAACGCTTTGACATTCAGATTTGTACAATGTGACAAAATACAATATTAGGTTGTGCTTGTCATGTTCGCGGGATGCATGTTCACAACTGTAGAGTTCCCGAGCCCCCCGAGAATTTCTAGGAGAGGGGTCTGCCAAAATATGTTCAGCGTTGAAGGACCATGTCAAGAATGACTCCTGAAATTTCGGAAAGACGACTACTGTTTCGGAGGGCATGCAAGTAAAATAGCCAAAGCAGTTGCTTCTTGCGGTCGCATCGCAAAGTGGTCTGATGTACTAGGGTCACCAGGTCATAAACGTTTCGAGGGTATCATTATTATTAATGAGTTGGGGAACACTCACGTTACATCGAAAGCGAAGAGATCCATAACGCGTCCAGAAGGCTCGTCGAAGCTCGAGGGGATTTGGAAGATCATCCGTGATCAGTGAACCAACAACGCCAACTGCAAGAACAAAAGGTTCCAATGGGCCACAATTCCGATAGCTTATATAATATATCAAAGTAAAAATCCCACTACGGCAGGTGTAGATAAAGAGGGTTCAGAGATCAAAGGCAAGTGGCACGATTGGAGGATTGGAGGTCGATAGAGGAGAATATACTATTCCAAAGGGAGGCAAGTCACCTAAGAGAACTGGACGAGGTGCGTCTCACTGAAAGGGTGCGTCCATCGGGGTATAACAGAGAACGGTAACTTTGGAGGAAAAAGCGGGCGGAGTTTGGGTTTGAGGCTGTGTTGACCGTCTCTAGAAATCGCATGCAGCTATTGAATGAGCCGCGCATGGAATAAAGCGGATGGCGGAGACGAGCACGTGGTGGTTTACCATGAGGGGAGTCGTATCGAGGCCCTCTAGAAGAGGGAGGGGGGTCGTGAAAACTGGGTGAACGAGGGTTCCGTTTTGCAGGATCCGAGTCATATCCCTGAGATTTCTTTCATAGCTGCATCTTTCATAGCTCTTATCAGCTCTACTTTCATTCGCAGTGAACAACCAATTCACGACACTATTTGCATTGAGATTCTAAGAGTTTAGCAGCCTGTTGAAGAAGATAGCGTAAGGAACCGCCAACAACGCCCTTAATGTGGTCATTTACCACTTCCATGTGCGACATTACATGAAGAAAAAGTAGGCGCCCGAACAAAATTCCAGATGACGGGGAGACGAACTAGCGCAACAATGATTAACCGTCAAACTGATTTCAAAATTTTTACAGCTGCACCCTCCCCACTCTCCTCCCGCCTGGTCACCTGAGGTTTTCCTCACACGACTCTCTACAACCAGAGTCAGCTGTGCGCTGCGCAGTTAACCTGGTTACAATCGATAGTCGTGTTTGACAGATTTTGCGACGATTTTGGGAAAAGCTCCAGATAGGGCTTGGGAAACGATCGTATCGGGGAACTTCCCCAAGGGTGATGGTGGTGGGGGGGGGAGAGTCGGATCGCCACCCCTTGGAAGGGAAGGGTCGTAAAAAATTTGCATTCACCGCAAAGCACGGTTGACCCTACTACTACGATCCGCAGTGTCAATTCTGTCGCTGAACCTGTCATCATCTGACACACTAGAAGCTCGAGGTTCGGCGTGAGAATTCCTCTATAATTGGCGTCTAGCAGGAGGGAAGGTGAAAGCTTCAGTTCCCTCTACTCTCGCATCCACCCTTTTTAGTGAGAAAATCTCAAGAGGCGGCCGCCTTTGAGTGTAGCACTCGTGATTTTAGGGTGGATACGGGCCTCAATTAATTTATTGCATCGAACATAGACGAATATTTATTACCAGGTCGGTCTTCCGGCAACCGCCAGACCCTCCCTTCTCTGCAAAGCTTG